GAGACAATCTTGGTGATGACGGACACGTGGCCTTTGGCACGAGTCATGGGTTTCTTAAATTTTTCCAAAATAAAATATTTAGGTGGCGACTCTATATCTAGTAAAGCAGTCTATTTTTGGCAATTTGATTCAAAATTGATTTTTCAACAAATTTGCCAGATTTGGACTCTTTGGTGTTTATCAATTTCATATTGCACTTGTGAGATTAGATTCAGAACCGCGGGAGTTCGAACTGTAGGGCTTATATTTCGACCTTTTTGAAAGGGGACGCGAAGAAGTCGAGCTACATTAACATGATACGCAAAACAAGCTGTTAGCATGGTCCACAAAACTTGACTTCTATAAACTGGAACCTCCCGAGGAGACACGGTGGGTGGCCGACTCCGAAACCGTCCAGGCAACAGCTTAGGCCTGGTTACGCGCTTGCTCACCTACATACATAAAATAAAAAATGAGCGGAAGCCTAGTGAATAATAACAGAGTAAAGGGTTAAATGAATGATGTCCCGTAACAAGTCAGTAAACAGAAACAGATTCATTTTCATAGCCTTCATCGAATCATAACAAAAATCAGAATTCATGCTTAGGTACACTTGGTGCATCCAGTAGTGCTAACAGATCAAATACAGAGCATTAAGGGTCATACTTGTCAGTTCTTTAAAGGAACCTCCGGTACTGGGAACAGATAACTTGTCAGTTCCATAAAGGAACCTCCAGAACGTAGTACGGATAACAATCTTGAGCCACGGAATTGTTGGCATGAATACTTTTCATGTATAGACAATCATTCATTGATATAGAACATAACATCTCAGAAAATAGATCATTTCATATCATCAGAAAATAATTATAGTTAAACATAACTTTATGGAGTTATTACTCACAGTTGGCTCCAAAGTAAACAGACAGAGTAGGCAAATCAAATATCTTGTGCCGCGTGACCTACACAGATACAGAACGAATACACATATTGAAACACACATTGGATAGTACTTAACTTATTTCATTTTGTTCTTCATGTGTTTTTAAGTCTTATCCTCATTATTGTGTCTTAATCTTGGCCTAGGAATCCCGAGGATGCAATGAGGATGCTAACATGCCCTTGATCACATTTAACAAAGCTTGCTGAAAATAGGAATCTCGCTCGAGCGCAACTTCCTTCGCTCGAGCGGACATGCAAAATGTCAATGGTCGCTCGAGCATATCTTCTTTCGCTTGAACGGTTTGTAAAAGTACTGGTTGTGTGATTTTCACAATCGACGGACGCTCGATGGTCGCTCGAGCGTGAGCGCAACTTTTGTCACTCGAGCGGTCTGTAAAACATGTAAACATCTGGGAGCATGCAATTTACGCTCAAGCCACCTCTTGGTCGCTTGAGTGGAGATGCAAAACATAGAGGGGTCGCTTGAGCGCAAGTTTTTTCGTTCAAGCGGAGAAGCATAATTTGAATTTTTCAGATTGTTGTACATGATGCAAACTTCAAATTCAAAGCCTCAAAACTTATCATTTGGACCCAAAAGTTGATAAAACACTTGGAAACTTGTAAAACATGATGGATTAAGAATCAATACTCAAAATCAAAGCCCAAAAGTAAGTGGATTCTTTGAATTCAAAGGTGAATTATGTGTATACATACCATGCATGTATTGACTTGGGTTCAAAACTTCCAAAACATAATCAAATGAGGTCCAATGGTGAAAAATGTTATGAATTAGTAAAATCATGTTATAATTACCACATGTAAGAGAGAAAAGCTTTGACAATAACTTCCAAACTCTATAAAATGTACATGCATGAATGGGATGCTCTTGTTTTCTACTTCCTAGTTCAATTCTTGCTCAACTTAGCTTACTTCTCTAGAATTCATGTATGAAACAACTTAAACTCAAACCTAAAGGTTGAATTCTTACCTTAGATGTTCAATTATGCTCTAGAATGCTAATTCTTTGAGCTTGAAGGACAAATGTCTAAGGTTCCTTCCAAATGCTAGCAATTCTTTGCTTAATCTTAACTTTCTCCTCTTCTCTCTCTCTCACGTTAGTTTGTTGTGTAGGTTCAAAGATGTGATGAAGAAAAAGATGAATGGTGGCACAAAGAAGCCTTATATAGGCTTAATTAAGAAGACTTAAATAAACTTGGCTTAAATTAAGCAAATGGGTCTTATTTATTCTAATTAATTCGTTCCGAATCGAATTTCAATTAAACCTACCATAAAATTCTAAAAACTCCAACTAACACTTATACCAAGTTAATTTCGTGATCGGATGCCGATAAGGCCTTCAATTCGTAGAACAAAACAGAAACATAAACAGCTATTCCTACTGCCAACAGATATAAACACAAATAATGCAATGCGCATACAATTAATTCAGAATTTCCTCTTAATTAGTCATTAGGCATAATTAATCATGCTTAATCGGCTAATCATAAGTCAGGGTTATTACAGAGATGAAGATGAGGCCATGGCTCACCTACAGAGAGAAAATGAACCAAAATTTGAACTACACAACAGGAAAGTCAGCGAAGCAACGGTGATGCTCACCATTGTCAACAAACTAGATATAGGGACAGATCTTGTTAATGAAACCGATCTAAGACAACAGAGATTGGTGAAGAAGTCGTAAAAAAAAAGACTTTGTGTGGAGAACAAGAGTTGTGAAGGCCACGGAGAACCACATTGGAGGAAACGATTTCTGGCGCTTGAATAGCCGCAAAACCACCAAAGATTGGAAACCCTAACAGCAATAGAGAGGGAGAGAGAGAGAGAATAGGTTTTGAAAAATGTAAATTTGAACATGTAAGTGTGTGGTTCCAAATAAATAATAGGTTTTGAAAAATGTAAATTTGAATATGTAAGTGTGTGGTTCCAAATAAATAAACCTCGTGAATTTTGAAGATAGTACGGTTATTTTGCAGAATGATGTTATTTTGTGCAAACAAAATCCAAAATTAGATTTATCGCCTGAGTGCCCAAATTAATAATCACAAAATTATTATTATTTTTTTATTAGAAAGAAATTTCTATTACTGAAGCCAAACGACACTTACAAAGAGGAATCCATCCAACCGATAAACTTACACCAAGTAAAGAAAAATCAGATCAAACAAACACACAGGTATAAAAACTAGGAAAAACTTCAGACGCATAACTCGTGCTCGTGCTCATATTACAAAGCAGAAGCCCAAACAATCGACCATAAAGCATGTTTGAAATAGATCATAGGTTACAACCACAAAGTAGGTAAGCCACAGAATAGCACTGATGGAATCCATAAAAAACACTCCCAAACCAAAAAAAGAAAAACCTGGAAAACCCAACCTTATACCCGGAGAAATAGTTGAATCTGTGGAGGCGACCAGATCCAAAAAATAATGTTTCTCATGTCAAAAAATTAACAAATTTTAAAATATATTTAGATTTGACTTATTACTAGGAGGAGAGATGTCTCAAGAGTGGGAGTGGGGTTGTTTGGAAAGTGCCAAATAAGCCATATAATCTTTTGATTTTATTTTATTTTTTAAAATTTTTGAGACTTTTTTTTTTTAATTATGGTCAAAATTTTTTAATTTTCTAAATATTCTTGTGTATACCAATCTAAAATTAGGAGGAAAAAATTGAGATCCCAAAAAATAAATAAATAAAAGCACCAAAATAAGTCAAAAAGTCTTCTTTTTTTTTTTTTTTTTTTTGTGGGAGTGGAAATTTTTTTTTTTTTTTTTTTGGTCCTTTCTCAATTTTTTTTAAATTAAAATTTTTAGTTCGTCTAGTCAAGTAGAATTTAGACAACTAAAAAAAAAATCACTAAAAATAAAAATAAGTCAATTAAACTTTATAAAATAAAGGTAAATTACAAATATGCACCCTAAGATTTACTTAAAATATGAATTGACTAATGTGATTTAAGAAATTGCAAATACCTCCTTGTCATTTTTTTATTTAACAAACTTAACTGAAAAAATAAAATTATTAGCTACTCTCTTGTACAGTAATAAAATTACCTGAATTATTATTTGAAATAAATTTATAATATCATTAAAAACTGTTAATTGACTTTATGATTTATTAATAAAATGGACTATTTATTATAAAATTTGAAACTTCAAGGGGAGGGATGGAACCACATGTAATAATTTATATTTTAAACAAATCTAAAGGGATGTGTAATACATTGTAAATTCTTATCAAAGACTAGTATCATTTGATGATGTCATGTGAATAGCTTGAAACATGTAGGTCTCATTTGAAAACTAAATATTTTAGCCAAAAAAATAAAAAGTAATTATAAGTTGTCATTATAAATTGTCACGTCACTTTATCTATTTTTTTACACATTTTTTATAAAAAATTAAAAAATTATTAAAATAATATATCCCAACAAAAGTTTTGTAAGGAGATTGGAATAGTTACCATGAGACAAAAGATCTTCAACTCAGAAAAAGAAAAAAAAATAATCAGTGTGTTTGGTTTGAATTTTTTAGATTAAGTTTTTTAAAAATTGAGTTTTTTGATTTTTTGTGTTTTTTTGTTTTTAGTGAATATTTTTAAAATTTTAAACATTTTTTTTACTTTTTTGTATGCACCTTACTTTAGATGTATCTAAAAAATATAAAATTTGTGAAAAAATATTTTAAAAAATTAATAAATACAAAAAAAATACAAGTACTGAATTCTTGTATTTTTTTATATTTTTGGTATTTAGTGAATTTTTAAAAGATTTTTTTTTATAATTTTTTTATTTTTTAGGTGTATTTATGTTAAATGTGTCTAAAAAATAAAAAAATTATTTAAAATATTAAAAAAAAGTTAATAAAAACAAAAAATACAAAAAAAACTAAGAAAATAAAATTTTCTGAAAAATATTTTTTGAAAAATAGAAACGAGCGAGCTAACAAGCAAACAAACCCTCAAGACCCAATTGAATCCACGATCCGAGTCCGAATAATCCGACCCAAATACCTAACTGAACATGTGGGTAACTATATATACCCATCATCGCCCGACCCTGTTGGTTTCGAATCGAATCGAATCGAATCGAATCATTGATAGATCGAACGCAGAGAGGACGAGAATAAGAGATCCAAAGCCAATTCATTTTCTCTCACTAGTCAAAGTTTCTTCAATCTGGTAATTTCATCAATCTATATTCATGTAAATATTGCATATATATGTGTTTGTGCAACATATTTGATAGATTATGTACATTAATTTTGATTCAGAAACCCTAGTTTGACCTCATGATGCCATTTCTAGAAAGGCCAGATCCAACTAATTAATCGTCTTTAATTGAGATTGAATTGGAAATCTGAGCTTAATCCAGAATAATTCATGATTTGTGTTTAAATTTAAGTTTTTGCTTCGCAGAAGAGTGTAATTCGTCGATTTATGTTTTCACTGTTGAATTTTGTGCAACTTAATGGAGATTGGTGTTTGATGCTTTGGATTTTCATTGACTCCTTGAAAGGTTTAGCCTTTTTGCTTAAATTTTTTGTTTTTGGGTTATTTAGGGTATTCAAAATGGACTACAGATTTTGAATTTATGGTTAAGTTTTGTATTGGATGAACGGGTATCTTAAATTAGCATAGTAGTTGTGTTGACGGAATATTTTGTTGTTTTGCATAAAAATTGAATTAATAAAGATTTTAGATGTTTGTGTTTTGCACAGTTGAATTTTGTGCAACTTAATGAGATTGGTGTTTGGTGCTTTGGATTGTGATTGAATTCTTGAAAAGGTTTACCCTTTACATAAATTTTTGATTTGTGGGTTATTTAGGGTATTCAAAATGGACTCCAGATGGTATGGTGGCAGACAAGAACCACGCTCTAGAGATAAAGGACAACAAAAAGTGGAGGTAAATATCCCTAGATGGATTTGGAACTAACTTCTTTAATAGTTTTGTTTCACCAGGAGTTTATTATTTGATTTGGAAAAGGAGCCTTCTACATAAATATTTACATGTCAAGATTATTTTCATTGAAATTGTTATGTGGGGAGAGACCAAGTGTAGTATATTAATGGCTGAGATTTACTGTGTGTTTTATCCATCTTTCTATGGTATTAATTTACTAAAAAACAAAATTTTTCGATGCCATGTCAAATGATTCATTATCGATCTATAATTTTCTTTTAGTATTGTGAAGTGTGATTGATGCTGTCATTAAAGGACAGATTCCATGATGCTAATCTTTCATTTGGAAGCTGAGAAAATTTCATCTGTAAGCTGTTAAATGAGCCCTCCTAGGTTGCATTACTAATTATATAGAGACTTGACTATCTATATTTTGTATTTCTCGTTGTGTACAATTAAGCATTTCAGATGCTAATATGCTTCAAGAGTACCATTTATTCATGAACACGTTACGAAATCATGGAATGATCCCAATCTGATGACACACTTATTCTGCATTTTATGTTATAGGCCAGTGATGAGGCTCTTCTTGAGGATCTTGCAGAGGATTTCCGCCTGCCAATTAATCACAGGCCAACAGAAAATGTAGATCTAGATAATGTGGAACAAGCATCATTGGACACACAGTTGACATCATCAAACATTGGCTTCAGGCTTCTCCAGAAAATGGGGTGGAAAGGGAAAGGTCTTGGGAAGGACGAGCAAGGTTTGTGGATTGGTGAAGTGCTAGTGATAATATATCATAATATCATATATTAGTCATTGTGTCTATATACTGTTTTCTAGTGATAACATATCATAATATCATATATTAGTCATTGTGTCTATACGCTGTTTTTAGCCTTTATAACTGCCTATTTATGATTTTAAAGCATGCTTTGATGGTTAATGTTTATTGGTTATATATGCATATCCATTTTACATTTGGAGATTTCTGCTGTATATAGTTGTCATATTATTGTTAATGCAAGTATAGATCTTTTATTTTCTTGTTCTTGCATTTTGAGTTTCAATATTCTTCATAATAATAAAGTTTGTTGCAAAAATGTTTGCCTCTGTGTTATTTTAGAAAAATGGCACACAAGCAAAACTTTTTAATACAAAGTCTCATCTCATCTTGAATGATGTAGCAGTGTTGTGTCTGAAATTAGAGCCCAACTAATTAGTTGTTGTTTTTGAAATGATGAGACCACAGTGAGCCACATTATGCTGTATGAAATTTTTGTAATTGAGTTATGTTTGTACGGCATCATTACTCGTTGTCTATGAAGCACGGGTACGGGTACGAGTACTAGTACTAGTATTGGTACGAAATGGGTACGCTAATACAGTAAAATCCAAAAAAAGTAAGGTACGAGTACAGCTGGGTACGTTTATAAAAAAAATATTTATTTTTAATGTGGAGTAATGCAAAAATTAATTAAATGGTTTAATTTGTTAAGATCCAACCTACAATTAAAATTTAATGCCAAAAGTAAAGGTATAAATCAAAATTAAATGTTATTATATTAAATAACTTACAAATCATTGTTTAATTTTCAAATAATGCTAAGCATAAAACTAAAAATAAAAAAGAAGTCTAGTGAAACAAATTTTATCTCTGTAGTAGAAGAAAATATTATTTCAATCGAGGTATGATACGACTTGGGTATATACTAGGTACAACTGGATACCCCAAAAATTAAGAAGAAAAAATTTGGCTACGTTTTTCATATACCCTGTACGTATGCAGAAGCTCTGTTATTTGAATCGTACGATTCACGATTCGAATCATACAATTCGATTCGGTGGATAATTGATATGAACATGTTGTGTGAATCGCAAATAGCTAAGAATTGTAAGTGAATCGGTGAACTTAGTGAATCGTGAGTCGATTTGATTCGCGTGAATTTTTTGGCTTTTTTTTTGGTTTTTTATTATTGAAAAATGGTTCACAAAACCTTTTTAAGGTCTTTAGGATTACTATATGCCATCTTTTGACTTTCTCCCTCCCATTTACTCTCAAATACTCAAACCTTAGCCGAAAAAAATAGACTCTCTCTACAATATTCTAGGCATACATACTCAATTTTATCTAAATACTTGCATTTGTGAAATGAATTTTTTTAAGGCAACAAAAAAAATTTTTGAAAAGATTCGAAGATTTTGGTTTTTTAACCTTGTAAATAGTTAAAAACATTGTTGTTAAGTTATTGTTACTTAGAAATTGAAAGTTTGTCTTTGTTTGCTTTCTTTATTAAGAATTGTTTATAAGAAATAGTTTCTAAAAACGAAACGGTGAAGTGGTACATGGGAACCCGTGTTAACTTCTTACCCAAACCACATGATCATCATTTAAAGCAATATTTTCATTGATTTAAGTCTAAATATTTCATATTTATTAGATATTTAATATCTAAGTGTGTACATATGTTTTTCTATGCAATTTAAAAAAGGTGGCCGGATCTTTACGATTCACCTTTCGCAATTCAGCACAATACCATTTCAATTCACGATTCGAATCCCGATTTGACAACTATGTGTAGAAGTACCATACGAAGTACCATACGCCATTAAGTATCCGGTACAAGTACGGCATGTTCGTCGAAGTAACCCATGCTTCATAGCTCGTTGTTTTAATTTTATTAGCCTCTCTCTGAAAATAAATGTAACCTCTAATCCACGGGGTAACAAAACCAAACGGCCTTGGTGTTTGGACATTCATGCTCACTAAAGCCATTCATGCTCACCTTTTCCATTTTTGCTCTTTTCTTGTTCTTATTTGATGTTTCTCTTTCTTTGTTTTGTGTGAAGGAATAATTGAGCCAATAAAATCTGGCATCAGGGATTCAAAATTAGGGGTTGGAAAACAAGAGCAAGATGATTTTTTTACTGCAGAAGAAAATATCCAGCGAAAAAAACTTGATATCGAGTTAGAGGAGACGGAGGAAATTGCAAAGAAGCGGGAGGTATGCCTTCAAATTTTAGTTAGCAGTTGCAAATATGTGCATGATTAGATAATATGAGGTTGATGCTTTACTTTTTGTGAAACCTATATCTAATAGCAGAAGGCAGCATATAGCTTATATGTGTGTCTTTTGATGGGAATGGTATATCATAAGGGAACATCAACTTTGGAAGGTCTTGAGAATTTCGTGCAGTTTTTATTACCTGGTGGCTTCTACTGCCTGCTTCCTGCACATTATGAAAATCCAGGTTATAGCAGAACGTGAGCAGAAAATTCAGACCGAGGTGAAAGAAATACGCAAGGTGTTTTATTGTGAGCTCTGCAACAAGCAATACAAATTGGCTGTGGAGTTTGAAGGTCACCTGAGCTCATATGACCACAACCACAAAAAGGTAAAGGGTCTTTTATGAGCAGATATAAATTTATTCACCTTTGGTTTGTTGCACTTGTATGCTTTTTTAAATTATGCCTTCACCATTCTTGCTAAGAAACTTCACTGGGTATTGCAGCGTTTTAAAGAGATGAGAGAAATGCATGGAACTAGCAGTCGTGATGACAGGCAGAAACGAGAACAACAACGCCAGGAGCGGGAGATGGCCAAGTTTGCTCAGATGTATGTATTTGTTCTGAACCTGGCTTTTTGAATATTTTTTATTTAAAATTGTGGATTGTTTATATTGATTTTCTTGTAGGTTGACTTAGCCATTGATGATCAATAATTTTTTTAAAATTTATTTTGCGTATTGTTATGCAAATTAGTGCCGATGCCCATAAACAGCAGCAAGAGCAACAAGATCAATCTGGAACTGCTATGGTTTCTACCACAACGAGAAGTGCTACTGCACTTGCTGATCAAGATCAGCGGAAGGCATTAAAGTTTGGTTTTTCCTCAAAAGGTGGCACATCCAAGGTACACGCATGTTGGATATATACTATTTAGTCTATATGGTGTATGATCCACCCAAAAAAAAAGTATTTTATATCTCTAATTGATTTGGCTTGCCCACAAGGCCATCATGGTTTGAAATTTCTCTGAGTCATCATGATATTTCGGTGATGGTATCCCCATATAGTCTGAAATATAATAGCAAAAATTTGAGAGATAACAGTGAAGTATCAGTTAAAAAATATCTGACATGTATTTGATTATATCATTGTTCTTTCTCAAAAAAATAAGCATCCTTTTTTTAGCCAATCTTAGTTGAAAATATCAGGAATGTTGTAAAAATATCACTAATATAATGAAAATATATTTTTATTATTAAGAAGTAAATATTTGTCAAAATATGTCAAATAAAATATTGAAAGTAAGGATGTCTAAAAACGGACACTTAAAATTCATCATAGTGATGATATCGCGCTTTTGTCAAGCCCTTTATTATCACTGGTACTTCTCTCTTTTCCCAAATTTCTATTATTTTAGGAACATTTCGGAGTTTCACTAGATGTCTTATGATTTTCATAGCACCAACGAGTCTATCAACCTTTCTGTATTATTCTGGTCCATGTCAGATGGTTGAGTATATTATGCCATGGTGCTAGTAGTGCCTTGTTTATACCTACGTTACACGGACTCTTCAGAATTTCGGAGGTACCCGTGTCGACACGACACAACACGGGTATGGGTGAGGGATACGGTACTTTACAAACGGATACGGCTATGTTCAAAAGAAACGAAAGAGAAGAGAGCAAGGTGAGAACTTGGTCACCGATCTATGTCAATCTGTATGTCTGTGTCAATCAACTTCCCGGTGTGTCGATTTGTGTCTCTTTGTCATCTTCTCTCCGTCTTCATCTGTGTTGATCTCCTCCTCTCTCTGTCGTCTCGTCTTCTCTCTATCTTCATCTCTCTCGTTCTCCTCTTCTCTCTCTCTCTCTCTGTCTTTCTCTCCGTCTTCTCTTCTTCTTCTTCATCGTCTTCTTCTTCCTCTTCTTCTTCTTCTTCTTCTCTCTCTCTTGATTTGTTCTCTCTCCCCCTCCCTTTTTAACATATAATAAATAAATCATATATAATAAAAAAAATCTAATAAAATCTATAAAATAAATCATCTAATTTTTATTTTTATTTATTTTAACATATTTTATTCCTTATTTGTTATACTTTTCTTATTTATAATATATATATATATATGTCAATTAAAAATGAATTATATAAATAAATTAAAATATTATCAATAAAAATAATACATAAGATAAAAATATATATATATATATTTAAAAAATAATTATTTACCGTATTCTCGTATCCATATCCAAATTTAGATCCATATTCACGTATTTTTAATTTTAAATTTTGAAGTGTCCGACTCCTAGATACGGACCTGCACCCGATACCCACACCCGAGTCCGCATAAGATAGTTTAATACCAAGATCTAAATCAAGAGAAAAATATTGCGAGTTTTCTTTGCAAAACGAAAAAATTGAATAAGACACCCATGATAGTGGTGTGATTGAAAATCATAGCCGTGATGGCCACTACAATTATGTAACGGCTGTTACGGCACTATTATAGCCATTACACTAATGTTACAGTCGTTACACCTATGTTTTTAGCAGATTATGCATGTGTGACCATTTTTTCTCATATCTTTTTTTTCAATTGCTAACATCACACTAAAACCATATGGAATTGTTACGAAAATCTTAGTTCTAATAAATCCTTTCAATCTTGAAGTTCTACAAGATATGAATTGTTATCGAGGTCAGATTAGTTTATTTCTCCCCCATTTTTTTAAAGAAACTTATGTTACATTTTTTCACTTGACTCCGAGGTTGTGAAAATCGAGATCCTAAGTGAGATCGTTAGGAGGGACTCATGGATCGGATCGTAGAATCAGATCGAAGATCATAAGATTCTACTTTCAATAAAATGTTGCAGTTGTTACACCTTTGTTTTTAGCAGATGATGCATGTGTGTCCATTTTTTCTCATATTCTTTTTTTCAATTGCTAATATCACACGAAAATCACATGGAATTGTTACGAAAATCTTAGTTCTAATAAATCCTTTCAATCTTGAAGTTCTATAAGATTTGAATTGTTAGATGAGATTATTTCTCTCCCATTTTTTTAAAGAAACGTATGTTACATTTTTTCACTAGACTCTAGGTTATTAAAATTGAGATCCTAAGTGGGATCGTTGGGAGGGACTCGTGGATCGGATCGTAGAATCGGATTGACATCGTAAGTAGAGGTGTCTGCGGTTCGGATTTGGACGATTTGCGTATCAGTTTGGACCCGTCTGCATCTATACGGTTTGGGGAAAAGTCACAACCCGCAACCGCTCGCAATACGGTTTCGGTTTGTGTGGATAGGGTTCAGGGCTGTGCGGACAATTTGCGGATTGGATTTTTTTCCTCAAAAATTTATTTTTGAGCCTTTTTTTTTCTCCCAATTTTGTAAATATTTATTTTGGGCCCTTTTCCTCCCATTTTCTAAAATACTCAACATTAATAATTAATGAATTAAAACTTATAAAATTAAAAACACAACAAAATCAATTCGTAACACAAACAAATCATTCAAAATTCTAAATCAAATTATAAACTAACACTAACACAAACACAAACACAAACACATATTTCAAAATCTTAAAGTAGAATTTCATATTCATTAAGGAATTTAAAATTCTAAATCATACTTCATCCGGGACTAAGTTCGGTTATGAAACAATAATAGTATGATCGGTGTTATTCAGTTTTAGTTGATATAATACTATTAGCAAATGCAATGCTAGAGTAAGTTCAAAGAATAAAGAGTGTTTTATTTTGGGCAAAAATATCTAGGTAGGATATAGGAATGAAATCAACGGTTAATATTTTTTTTTTAAAAAAGCGTGGGCGGGTTCTTGCGGGTGCGGGTTAAACTCGCAACCCGCAAACATATCATATTCCAAACCGCATCCGCTCGCATTGTGTCTGTGAAACTATCCATTTGTATGCGAGTTAGGTGGATTTTGCCGGTCGGGTAAATAGCTGCCCACCCGTAATCGTAAGATTCTACTTTCAGTCAAATGGAAACTTATGAATTATGATAATGTATGTTACACAATTTTAAAAAGACTAAAGAAAAATGATAAATTTAATATAATGCTCTTTTTATGTTAATATAAATTGGAAGAGATGATTAAAAAAGGAGTTTGTAGTTAAATTTTTTATATAGATATACATATATATACATATATATAAGAAATAAATAATAAGAAAAAAAATTGTAGGATCGGAATCGTATTCTACACGATTTTATGAATAATCACTTTAAGATCCTACTAAATTTAAGATCTTAGTGTGATTCAAATCGTTTGGCCCAACTAAGATCGTAGGATTATAAGATCCAGATCGAAATTCTGATATTATTGAATTAGATTCTTTGGCTTTTGCTTGTATTTGTTGAACAAAGCTTGAATATCATGCGATGTATTTTGCATTAATATGTTGGCATATTGCACTATGAATTTTTGTTTATGACCCTAGAAATATTAATATTTACATGTTTTATTTTTATTTATGTATTTATTATTATTGTTTCTTTTGTTTTTTTTTTTTTTGTGTGTGTGCATAACAAGGACAAGTTATTCATTAGTACAATCAATAAAACAAAGAAAATTAAATACATCCAGCAGAAGGAAAAATTTGCATAGCGATTTAAAACTTGTAAACAGTGTTTTAAAAGGCGCACCTAAGCGCAAGCTTAGGCTCGAGGCGCACTTGAGGTGCCTCAGACAGCTTGAGGCGAGGCACATTAAGAAAGGCGCATTTCAAGCGCTTGAGGCGTACACCTTAGGCTTAGGCGCAAGGCACACGCCTCATGCACTTCATTTAAAATTTTGCTCCATCTTTATTTTTTGTGTGTGTAACCATATGGAATTACAACCCTTTAATATAAAATGTAAACACATACTTTGAGTCCCAATTTTCATATAAAAAAAGCTCTAGGTATTAAGCAAAAACTTTAGGATTGCAAGATGGATATATGGCTTTGGAATTCCTTTCAATGTAATAAATTACAATAGTTTCGAACCAATGATTGAAGCTATTAGGCAATTTGGTCCCGATTTAAAATTAAAATCACTAAGGTATGGTATGAGTTCCTTATCTAAAAAAAAAAATAAATCATGTTGATAAATTGATAAAGAAAGATAAATAATATAGGGCAAAGTAAGATTGAATCTTATTTTTGAGAAAATTTTGAAACGTCGAATGTTATTTTTCATAATTTTTGGAATATTGAACATCATTCTATATATATATATATTTTTTTTTTTTTTGAATTTCTAAGAATATTTGTTTTATTTTAAAAACTTTGCCTATATTAATATTTTGGTTATCCCTAATAACTTGCGCCTCACGCTTATGCTCCAGGAGACCTTAGCGCCTCAATGTGCCTAGAGCTTTTTAAAACACTGCTTGTAAATATTAGTACATATATTATATCATGTTCAAAATTTAAGCAAGAACAACTAAAAAGCCATTTTAACCTTATTAAATGTGATTATGAAATTAACGGTTAAATTTTTCTAAAATTATGCGAAGAAAAAAAAATCACAGCTTCAATAGCTGCCACCATTACTGTTACGGTGGCCGCCACCATTATTTACAACTTTTTGTGGTATTCTAAAACAGTAAATTGAGCTATGCAAAAGCAATTCCAAAGGTTTTTTCCCAATATAATTTCTATAGGTTTCCTTAAAATAATAATAATAATAATAATCAAATATAATGAATTAAAATACAAGGCCATAGAAGTTTTGACTGGAAAAAAGGTCCAAAGTGGGTTGTAATACTCATAGAAATGTGTTGCTACCTAATTAATGGAGAAATGTGAGAGAAGGCTTGCAACAAGGGACAATATTTATCCAAAGGGGGCAAATTGGTTTATTTTAATTGAGAAAGTCTTTCTAGATTATCCACTTTTTTTTTTTTTAATGTCCTTCACCATTCACTGTTTAGTAGCAAGAACAGGATTACTCAAAAATGGTAGTACCCGTTTTGAAATTCACATTCTAAAACATGGTACACTTTCGTTCCAAAACAGATAATTTAGCGATCCCAACAATTTTCCATTATATTTTCTTAAAACTTTCCTATGTGAGGAAAACAAAATAAAATATAATGAACGAAACTTTAGAGAGAATGGAGTTTTTGCATGATCAAATATAAAACAAGTGGACCATAATGCTTCTAGAATTGTGTTTTTACATGATTAATTTATTGGATGTCTAACTATTGAAATATAATTGGGATAGAGTTTTCTTGCCCATCCAAAAAGGTGTCATGGGATTTAGAGGGTGGAGGTGTTTAGTAAGGCTTTATTGGGGAGGTGACTATGGAGGTTTGCTTCGGTGAATGATAGGTTGTTAGATTACTCTGCTTTAGTGCATAACCTATGATTTCGGAGGACATAGAGGAATGAGAAATTTAATATCACAAAGGCCTTTTTTTTTGGCTTGCTATACGAGACACAGGTTTCCATGAGGTGTATGGAGGCAGAGCTCCTAAGGTTGTACCTCCCCTTGAGGCAATTTTAACTATTGACAATATCAGGAAAAGATGCAAGGTGATGATGGAGTGTTGCATGTATATGCAAGCAAGAGAAAGTGTTAACCATCTTTTGCTCCATTGTTCGGTGGCTTCAGAGAGAATGGAGTTTTTGCATGATCAAATATAATGGAAAATATAATGAACAAAACTTTAGAGAGAATGGAGTTTTTGCATGATCAAATATAAAACAAGTGGACCATAATGCTTCTAGAATTGTGTTTTTACATGATTAATTTATCGGATGTCTAACTATTGAAATATAATTGGGATAGAGTTTTCTTGCCCATCCAAAAAGGTGTCATGGGATTTAGAGGGTGGAGGTGTTTAGTAAGGCTTTATTGTGGAGGTGACTATGGAGGTTTGCTTCGGTGAATGATAGGTTGTTAGATTACTCTGCTTTAGTGCATAACCTATGATTTCGGAGGACCTATGATTTCGGAGGACCTAGAGGAATGAGAAATTTAATATCACAAAGGCCTTTTTTTTTGGCTTGCTATATGAGACACAAGTTCTTTGAGGAGGTCAGGTCCCTTTTTTTTTGGCTTGCTATACGAGACACAGGTTTCCATGAGGTGTATGGAAGCAGAGCTCCTAAGGTTGTACCTCCCCTTGAGGCAATTTTAACTATTGACAATATCAGGAAAAGATGCAAGGTGATGATGGAGTGTTGCATGTATATGCAAGCAAGAGAAAGTGTTAACCATCTTTTGCTCCATTGTTCGGTGGCTTCAGAGCCCTGGAGTTTAGTTTGCTCAGTTTTTAGTATTGCTTGATGATGTCATCTTCAATGGGTGAGCTACTTGCTTCTAGAAGTTTTTGTTGCCCCCAAAGAAGTCAGATAGGAAGATATGGCAAAGTGCAGCTGTATGTGTTTTGTGGACGGTCTAGAGGGAATGTAATAGGACTCTGGAGATATTTACCTTAAACAATTTGAAAGGATTTTTTGGTTTTCGAAGTGTAGGGTTTAGGGAATGTAATAGCACTCGGGAGAACACCTTTGTGCAATTTGAAAGGATTTTTGGTTTTCAAAGTGCATAACTACCTCTCTGGGGCATCTTAGGCATCATGTAAAGATGGTGTTAATTAGGGTACATGTATTCCAGTCTCTTGGGTAGAAGCCATTGGCACTAAGGATTGGTTAATGAAAAGAATTCTGATGGAAATTGGAAATTATGAATTTCCCTCGAAACATTTTACAATCCCAGGAAACTTCGGTATTTAAAGCATGACGATACTGTCACATACAGGAAATCTTATCTTCCCTCCACTTTCCAGTGCTCTTATCTACGCAAAGAGTGTTTTACTTCAAATCAAAGTGAGCTTAGACCTATCTTTTTGTTTTCATGAGATATGATTGAATTGGAGGCAGTGTCATTGTTAACTATTGGTTAATGGATATCTTGTGTTTTCTATGCTAAATGGTTTCTTTCTCTGCATGTTAAACAGAAATTGGTTGGTAATGCTGCAAAGAAGCCGAAAGTAGTGGTGGCGTCGGTTTTCGGCAATGATAGTGATGAAGAATAGTGATGATTACGAACACCCTTAATCTGGGATAACGATGATGTATCTTATGAGTGATTCCATTGCTTTATTTTCTTTTCTTTTTTTTAACATTAAAAATTGTTACCTCTGCCCTTGGTTTTACACAATCATCATTGTTGTAGAATTTAGATTTCTTCTTTTGTTTTTTTTTACATGGGTTCTGTTGTTAAACAATATTTTAGTTGAGCATAAATAATTCAGGATGGTTACTGCATTGAAGAGCTTGTGCAAATTTGTTCAGTATGCTAATGCATTGTTAAACCAATGTATTTGTGACACCTCATATGATGTGTGAAAGTTGATACTCAGATTTGGTCACTGTAATTGATTTTCATGTGTTTCTAGATGTTTATAAGGGGTTGTTTGGGTGTCTTAAATAAGTGTATTTTTTGACTTTTTGGACTAAAAAGTTAAAGAAAAAAAAAATAGTTGTTTGAGATAATTTTTTGACTTTTTACGAAAAAATGTGTATTAAAAAATTATATAAATTAGTGTATAGAAAAAGATGGGATGGAATAGGTGGTGCGGTGGGCTGAATGCGGGGACAGCGTAGGAAGAGTAGAGGAAGGGGAGATGATTTTCTGTTTTTCGGGCATTGAATTGAAGGTGTTATTCGGCCTGTGGGGGTTCACTATGGGTCTCGTTTTGCTAATCAAAATCGTTCAATATGTAGAACTCGTCGAATACTATATTCTTGTAAAAAATCATGTTGATTGGATATTGATAGCTATTTGATCGGATTAGTTTGTTTTCAACCTTTAACTATAACACTATCCATTTTATAAATTTTAACTGATTTAATCATATAGTTACCGATATTTGATTAATGTGATTTTTTTCAGGCATATAATAGTTAACGATTTCTACATATTGAACGGTTCAGATTATTAAAATAGGACCCGTGATGGATTCTTACGGGCCAAACAATACCAAGTTATTAGTGCACCTAAATAGAAGTTCTTTTCCGAAAAGTGAGCTCCGCATTTCTCACATCAGAGTTGTTTGAAAATTTGTTGTGTAGAATTATTTTTTTAATAATTTTTTTTTTTTTTTTTGTAAATAGTGATAATTTTTAAATTTTTTTTTTTTTGATCCCACACCAAGCCTAAATATAAAATTGTAATGCATATCTACATTTAAATAATAATAAGGGGTTGTTTGAGATGTCATAAATAAGTATATTTTTTGACTTTTTTGACTAAAAAATTGAGGAAAAAAATATGATTGTTCGGATTAACTTTTTGACTTTTTATAAAAAAAATGTGTATTAAAAATTGTATAAATTAGTGTGTAGGAAAAAATTATGATTGAAAGTTATGCAGTCATAATTTTTAATTTTTGATAAATAGTAATAATTTTTTAACTTTTTAAGTAACTTTTTAACTTTTAACTTTTTAATTTTTTTTTGCAACTTGTCAAACTTAATCTAAACAACCTTGAAATCATAGAAGAGATGGTGTTTCTAGATCCATTGTCACTTCTAGAAACGGATGGAGGGTATTCTAGGGGGAATCCGGATCCTCGGTAGCATTTTCCAGTCGCCATTTCCTGTAGCCCCCCAAAACGACGTCGTTTTGGGGGGTTTTTTTATTTTTTTTTCTTTTCTTTTTCTTCTTTCTCTTCCATCTGTGTTTGGTAGAAACCAAGAGGGGGTACAAACCAGAGGGGGAGGGGAGGGGAGAGGAAGGGAGAAGAGAGAGAGGAAGGGAGAAGAGAGAGAGAGTGAAAGCAGACAGAGAGAGGGACAGAAATGGGATATATATATATATATATATATATAAAAGCGAATTACACCAACAGTCCTTATAGTTTAAGATTTATGTCATTTTGGTCCTTGATTTTTTAATTGTTACACATTTGATTCTAAATTTTGAATCTTGTTCTAAATAAAGACAATTGAAAGTACCATTACTTATCAGGAGCAAATTGTCAATTTGATAAAATATAAACAAATTTGACAAAAATAATTGTCAAAAAAATATTTTTGAATTTTTAAAAATTATTTATGCCCACTAAAGATAAAATTATGTAAAATAGATAAATTTTTAACACATTATTTATTTATTTATTTTACGAAATTAATTTTTATTATGTGTTTGGATAATGATCATGTAATGGGTAGTTGTTATCCTTTTAATGTGTAATTGATATATTTAATATATTAAATATTTTTAGTTCTGAATTTTTTGATTTAATGGATGGGAAATTTGGCTATAAATCTCCTTTACCTTCCTTTCATTGTTAAAAGGACTAAGAAAAAAATTATACTTTCTAAACCCCCTCATAATTATAAAGTCTTGCATAAAGGACAAATTTATTATTTAAATATTTTATATGACTATTATACCCACTCACTTCCCCACTCTCTTCCTTTCCACAGATGGCATCTTCAAGAAGACCGGCGAGTTCTGCAACTTGTGCGGCATCGAAGCCGCCGTCATCACCTTCTCTAACGCCGGCAACACCTTCGCCTTCGGCAACCCCTCCATCGACTCCGTCCTCGACCATTACCTCTCCATGACTTCGTCATCCTCCAGAGCCTCCGCAAGCTTCTCTTCCCTCTTTCGATATAGGGTTTCAACTCAAATCTGTGCACCATGAACGATTCCGATCTCTAATCTCCCGAGATATATAGATATATATATATCTATATATATGTGTGTGTTTGTGTGTTTTGATATTTGAATTCGAATATATATATATCTATATATATGTGTGTGTTTGTGTGTTTTGATATTTGAATTCGAATATATATATATCTATATATATGTGTGTGTTTGTGTGTTTTGATATTTGAATTCGAATATATATATATCTATATATATGTGTGTGTTTGTGTGTTTTGATATTTGAATTCGAATATATATATATCTATATAGTTTTTCAGAGTAAAATTTTACTTTTATACAGAGTAAAATTTTACTTTTAGCTTCAGAGTCTCACAGTTTACTTGTTTTTCAGAGTAAAATTTTACTTTTATACAGAGTAAAATTTTACTTTTAGCTTCAGAGTCTCACAGTTTACTTGTTTTTCAGAGTAAAATTTTACTTTTATACAGAGTAAAATTTTACTTTTAGCTTCAGAGTCTCACAGTTTACTTGTTTTTCAGAGTAAAATTTTACTTTTATACAGAGTAAAATTTTACTTTTAGCTTCAGAGTCTCACAATTTACTTGTTTTTCAGAGTAAAATTTTACTTTTATACAGAGTAAAATTTTACTTTTAGTTTCAGAGTGTAAAATTTTACTCTTATTCAAAGTAAAATTTTACTCTGAAATACACAGTGAAGATGGCTTAATAAGAGAGCTGATAGATATGAGGGTAATATAGTAAAAGAAACAAGTTTTAAAATATTATGGGGTTTTGAAAGTATTTATATAATTCTTATCCTTTTGAAAGACAAATTAAATAGTGAGGGGGCTATCACCAAATCCCCCTTAATGGATTAGTTTAATAATGATATCAAAGTTGTCGCCATATTTGACTTTCAAAAAAATAAAAATTAATTTAATGAAAATAAAAACAACCACCAATTACATGATCATCATCCAAATACATAATAAAAATTAATTTGATAAAATAAATAAATAAATAAATGTGTAAAAGATTTATTAATTTTACACAATTTTATCTTTAGTGAGTAGAAATAATTTTTAAAAATTCAAAAATATATTTTTGACATCTATTTTTATCAAATTAGTTTATATTTTATCAAATTAACGATTTTGTCCTTAAAATTGATCAATATTATCTTCAATTGTCCTTATTTGGAATAAGATTTAAAATTCAAGATAAAATGTGTCACAATTAAAAAATCATTAATTGTTAGTAAAATTCACCCGACATACAATGCTTTATTAAAATTAACAATTTAAATTAAGACTTGTGATCCAGTTCAAGAAAAATTGAGACTTACGATGGCACACACAAACTCAACCCTTGCAGAGAACTTTTCTAAGAAAATTTTAAAACAACCCATGTTAGAAGAAATACAAAAGTATACAAAATTTTGAACACTATTTCCACGGTAATTTTAAACTTCCTATTACTTTTGTTTCTAAAAATTGAAAAATAAACAATGATTCGAAACGCAGCTTAGGTTTGTAGCCCATTTATTTGTATCTGCAGATGTAAATTTAATCCTTTTCCTGTATTAAATTATTTTTTTCAGTATTCAAATTCAAAATTATAGTTAGAGTTTGGAAAAGCATAGCTATAAAAACATGTTTATATTCATTTTTCTTTATATAAAATAAAATAAAATAAAAACTCTTTTCTTGCTATGCTATGAATCTAATCAATGCATGACAAAATGGTGTGGAGAACTCAAATGAATAATACACAAACACGTGGATTACAAATACTCTATAAAGGAAATGAGAAATTTTCTGCAAGGTACAAGACTGAAATAACATTTCATCTCCAAGCAACACATATTTACAAGCACAAAAGTCTCGACTCATTATGAATAGTCACATATAGAAAACCCATCACACGATTCACGTACACCATCTACAATCCATCGTAGTTAACAACATTACCGGACAAGTTTTTATGAGATAGATGACAGAGTGACTAACTAAGCAGATTCAGCAAAACCTAGTCGGAGGTTTCCGTAGTCGAATACTGTATGATACACTCCCATGAATACATCTCCAAGAATCCTGCATTCAGTGCAAATATACATATATATTTTAGCATGAGACACACAAAACAAAAGCCTCAGTGATTTATCTCAACAAAACATGAAATGTTGTTTGTTGTCGTATATATGATTTTGTTTATTGTTCCTTCGATTTCCATGGTTGTGGATTATGGGCATGAATTACAAAAATCCAAGATAATAAACGTACCACAGAGGACCACGAGGTGGAGGCACATCCAAGGCAATAAACCCGCTGATGCAGATAGCAATATCTCCCTCTCCGGTTTTCAGAACATACTGAAATAAAGCGAGTAGTCATTGAGGTAAAAGAATGGGAAATTACTCTAAAAAATAGTCGTACCAAATGCACAAGGCTAACCAAGAAGGTAAATCTTGTGTGCGCTTTAAGTTTGCTTAAGTTTATTGTTAATTCTAGGATAGATCTACTTATTTAAGATGTTTTATTTTTCTCAACCACATATCAGAAGCAACTCAACCATCACGCCGCTTAGCCCATCACCTAAAGCCCTCAAGAAATCCTCAAAAATTCCTACTGTCAAAGGCCCTAATTTTTCAATGACCAAGTAAGATGAGGCCTTATTTTCATATTTAGCCTAATGTCTCAAAAAATATTGGCCCATTGCTGCCACATATATGAGCATGCTTCTTCTCAATATTATTGCTCCTTTAGTATTTCAAGCCACCAAAATTTACGATAACACATTTCCATATGAAAAGGTCAATTGTCATACCCAAATATTAGTGACCTATTGTCATACCCTATCAAACACCACTGTTGGCTTCTCCTAAGTTTTTGAAGTTTCTGACACAATTTTCAAATTCAAACTTCTCAATACATTTTCCTCCATTTGAACTCTCAAAATGTTTCAATCAACCCATACCCAAATATTTCCAAATGTAAAATATATCATCATAAATGCTTTGTAAACTAACAACTAGTCTCTAGCTAGACTATAACAAATGAGAGAACAAAGAGTTTAGGCAAATTGAAAGCTTAAAGACAGTAATAAGATCAGACCTGTTCAGGAGTAAGGGTGAAATCTTTGCTTCCAATCGTGAATGTAACATTTGGCAGCTTTGACAGGCTATTGCAGTCGACTGCTGATTCTCCATTTGGACTTGGCAGGCTCTCGCACAGCTATTAAACATGAAAACCTTATGTCTAACATAGCAGAGAAACAACTATTTAGGCTTGTAAACAGAAGTTACATTTTGGTAGTAACTAACCTGATTCACATAATTGAACACGGTCTCCTTTGCTTCCTCTGCTTTTAGCTGGTTCTCGACCCAAACAACAAGCATCTCACAAGCAGTGCATAGAAGATCATCCCCAGGGGAAATTTTCTCATTGTTTTCTTCAACCACTGTCTTGATATTAGCACTGCAAAGAATTAGGTTCAGTATCAATTCAAGTCAAGCCCTAGCCAAAACTTCACATATACATTAAAGCACTCATGTAGTGTTTGGTTCACTGGAATGGAGTGGAATAGAATAATTGATTTCATCAAAATATTCATTCCTATGTTTGGTTGACTAAAAAAAGTAATAAAAAATAAATTACAAATGAAATCATCATTCACTATAGTAAGGGAATGATCATTCCATATGAGAGCTTGAGGAACAAGAATTACATTCTAGTGAACCAAATAGAGCATTAGGTCTTAGAAGCCTCTAAGAATTATGAGAGGAAGTTCAGTAAACTTGATCAAAAGGGTTTTAAGAACTAGAAGGCACTTTCTCAAAGAAATGAGATACCCCCACAAATAATGATTTCGTGGAACCTATGGTTTTTAGTGTGTGCTCTAAAACCAAGAAATTGTTACAACCCTAATGTCCTACATAGGTTAAGTATGGGCTTGGCCACGCATATAAGCTCCCAAGCACCTTCCCGCCGGTTTTAAATGGTGAGTTCTACCCAAGAGGTTGCCTAATTTGGTATCAAAATAGTCACCATGTCAAGTATGGGATCGGATAGGTTGCTTGATTTAAATAACTTGGAATTGGGTCTGTTTGGTGCAGCTTCTAACAAGCTGAGAGTTAATAAATCATAAAGCAGAAGTTAAAAGTCTCTCCTCCTACATCCCACTGATCAACTTTTTTCAACTTATTTAAGCTATTTACAGTCTCATAAGTTGTAAGTACAAATTGCACCAAACTATCTAATACAGATTTCCAAAAAAACACACACACACACTATAAGCAGGCTCCATAAGCTAAACCAAGCAGCCCCATTATGTATGGCCATAGTGCTAAGTTGTTGAATACTGATAAGTGAGTAAAGCTTCCGAGTAAGGATGGCAAGTTCATAGCTCTTAGACACTCTCCCTTTGCAAGGCCCCTTTTCAGAGGCAAGTTCTACCCAAGGCTTCGTATAAGAAATTTATACCGGTTATGGTATGCACGACTGAGAAATGAAATTTTAGTAAAACAAAAGCACTAAGAACTTCCTAACCTTTCAGACTGAGCCCCCTTAAATAAGCACAAACCAATCTCTGAACATACTTTTCCAGGTCTTACCTGCAAATCACAGTAGTAATCTCCTAAGGGCTTTTATTGAAATTAAAAAGAGAATAGACCAAAAAATAATAAATAAATAAAGGGTAACAAGACTTGAAAAAGAACAGACCCCTGCAATTAGGAGATCCCATATCAATTCTCCATATTCGGAAACTATTTCTTTACATTCCATGCTCACTATTCCTTCTGCTCCAATAGCATGGTTGATTTCAGTGACGATAGTCTGAAATCGATGGGCAAATTAGAAATATTTATAAAAAAATAAATAAGGGAAACAAAAGAAAAAAGATGATTAATCCATCCTGAGGATCTTTGTGACCATTTTTTTTTTTTGATAAATAATTGCCAAAAGTTAGAAGCACACACAGTTGGACCAGCAAGCAATGATGTTCCAGAATCCACAATAGCAGCACATCCACCGCTGCAATAACCTTGAAAAAAGAAACGAAAGCAATTAGGAGATCCCATATCAATTCTCCATATTCGGAAACTATTTCTTTACATTCCATGCTCACTATTCCTTCTGCTCCAATAGCATGGTTGATTTCAGTGACGATAGTCTGAAATCGATGGGCAAATTAGAAATATTTATAAATAAATAAATAAATAGATAAATAAATAAGGGAAACAAAAGAAAAAATATGATTAATCCATCCTGAGGATCTTTGTGACCATTTTTTTTTTTGATAAATAATTGCCAAAAGTTAGAAGCACACACAGTTGGACCAGCAAGCAATGACGTTCCAGAATCCACAATAGCAGCACATCCACCGCTGCAATAACCTTGAAAAAAGAAAAGAAAAGGAAACAATAACTCAGTCTTTGACACAACATTTATTTTGCCCAAATTAATAACCTATTACCACTGGATTTACATATGCACAAAAAGTTACCTGTTGAATAATTTCCAATAAGGAAATCTTCCATTTCAAACTGAAAAATAAAGAAGACAAATACATCAAGTAAAAAAAAAAAATACATTGAAGCATGAAAAGTGTGTTGGAAACATTAAACTTTAGTCTTCACACCTGCCAGTAACCCTTTTGAGTAACGGGAACATAAGTATGCGCCCCCTTGAAGTGCTTTGGATCAACACCACCAAAGACAAGCTCACCACCGTCTTTTGCATCTGGATCCCGATTAAGCCAAAAAGAAAAGACTTCCTCTTTTACAATACCTTGTTCCACCATATTGTACCTGCACTCTCATCATGAATCAGTATCCAAGACATTGGAAGTGTAGAAGAATGGAGGGGTTGGAGTACATATTTTCTGTCACAAAGATGAATAATTCATAAAGGGTCTTTGTTAATGCCATTAGGGCACATTAAGAAGGCTTAAAAAGATTGTACATTCTTTATTACACTCACTTTCAAGCAGAATGTGCAATCTTTTCAAGCTCTTTAACATGTATCCTAAGAGCACTAAATCCGTTTCGCAAAACAGTTAAGAGCAATAAATTTTACAAAGTAATACCAGACTGGCACTACATCCCCAACTGAGATTTCCTGGAAACCAAGCCCAAGTATTCCATCAAACTTCGCCACTACAAAAGTAAGACTTCCTTCTTTTGTAGCCTCCATGAAAACCTGAAAAAATTAAGCATGTGTGTCTATCACCAAAAGTAGTGAGTCAAAAACCAATTCCATATTAGATCTCAAAACAAAACAAGAACTCACTTGATCATTGACCACAAGATCGCCGACTCCAACATTATCTTGACTAAGGAAGCCTTTAACTGATCCAGATCCATAATGTATTGCACAAGATTTTCCTGAATCGCAAATTAATAAAAGATATTTAAGCATATTTCTTGTAATAATCTCTAAGGTTGTGTTTGGATCGTGGATTTGGGTAGGGGATTTGAGAAGGAAAAAGAAATTATACGCAAAAAGTGACAAAGATTTAGCTTCTATTTTTGTCACTTTTCCCTTTCCATTTCATTTCCCTCCACAAAGTCCTACTCAACATGATCCAAACATAGCCCAAATGTCACAAGCTTTTCTTATGTCAAGCAACTTGTGAGTCGGAACTTGGTACTCAACAATGCCCAAACCAAGCATTTAGCAACATGATTAAAAAGAAAAAATAAAGACAAAAAGACTAAAAAATTTACCAATTTTGTGGTATGACTTGGACTTGGTGTGCTTGTACTTAGGATGCAATAAACAAGCAATCTGCACATAATTTTAATTTATTAGGTAATTCTTTAAGAAGAAAAATATGAGTTTGCAAAACTAAATATCAGAAGAACTCACAGAAAAAATGCATTTTGATGAGGGAACCCAGAGATTGGAACTGCCGGTATCAAATATGACAGTGAATTTCTGTGGTGGTGACCCAATACTAATCTCTCCATAGTATTGGGCATCCATATAGTTTTTGAGAGAAATTATGTCAACATCAGATTCATGTGAACGCATACTATTCAAGCCCTTCCCTTGTTTGCCTTGCGATCTTGCCATCTTGGCAGCCTTAATGCCATGAAGATCCACAGGCTGTTTCTTCAAACCAATTCTCAGTAAACCATCAGAGGAAGAGTGAACTACAGCGCATGTCAAAAACAGTAAACTGAGAGCGCCCAAAAGATAGTTGTGCTTCATTTTAGAGAATGCCCTGGTTCAATAATGAACAAAAGGTAAGTTCAAGGGACCTTTGGCATGCATGGCAAGCAAGCAATTGTGGAAAATACGGAAGAAACCAATGGCACGTTGTTGCTAGTGTCGAACATTAAAATAAATAAATAGATTAAGAGCACACATAAATACACTTTTGATAAACCAGTAGTCAATTTTGAGATAAAAGATAATGAGAAGAGAACTCAAATGTTTGACAGTCTTAGTTGTCACCAAAGGCTATTTATTAGGTAACAACAAGCTTATAGAATATATTGGCTCAAAAAAATCATTTGTATTAGTCTCCCTGTCTTTTATGGACACACTCAAACCCCAATTGAACTTGCAATACTAAATTGGCCACAGTAACACTCTCAATTAAACTCCTAACTGCTGACCACTAAGTTCACTTTCTTGCTTCTATTATTAATTGAGGGGAAAAAAGGTGGTTATATATCATGCTAAGATTTACATATATTTTCATGAAGCTGTGAGGAAATGAAAAGAACCCCTTTAGGATCTTTCACATTTGAAATCAGTTTTTATATATTTTCATAATAACTTTGTTTGAGATTTCAAAATATAGACCAAAAGAGGGTAATTCGAGTAGGAAGAGCCACTAAAAAAGCAATGGTTGGAGTACAAATTGCAGTTGGGACTAGGTATCTTCCAAAGAAATTCATGATTCCTCAGTATGATGTGATCAAGAGAATTCAAGAAAATACAGAACTCAATAGCAGATTGGCAGAAGAAGAGAACAATATCAAGGGTTTCATATCAATTAGAGCTATATTTCTACACTGTACATACAAACCCATTCAAGAAAATTTGAAGAACAGATACAGTACATAAAAGCCAAAAGATTTGCCAAAAAAAAAATCAAACCCATATCCAAAAAATGAAACTATTACAATCATAGCACATTTTTATGCAAAACTATACCTACATACAGTCACACGTACACTCCAAATTAGAAAGATGAAATGGGTATATGAAAAAACACCATAGAAACCCCTAATCTCAGATGATATTCAACCAAAAAGTAAACAAGAAAACTAGCAAAAAGCAAAAGATCACCATACAAGCTAAAGGGTGGTGACAAACAGAAAGAAAACAAGAAAATCAAGAACAGATCATAATCCAGAGGTCACTGATGACTGATAATGAAAAAGATTGTGATCACCATGTAAAAATTGTTTGTAAGGATTGTTCAAGACGATAAAAAGACAAAAAGGACTAGAGGTCAAACCTATAGTTGAGCTCAAAGAAGGAAGATGTAGATGGTGCAAGAGGCTTTGGAATTGTAAACCCAGAGATAGGGGGTAGATGAATATGGGAGATATTTATGGAGAGAGAGACAATAGACACTACTCTTTACTTTGTCTTTGATCAAATTAATAATACACACTACTCTTTACTTTGTCTTTGATCAAATTAATAATTTTGGAGTGAGAAAAATTATTATTGAGGTTTTTTCTGGCTGCCTGACCACGCGCGTTTACCATAAAAAAAATAAAATAAAATAAACGTTCGTTTTGGTAATGGGATAGGGATCGTGAGCTTTTTACATAATTGTAAGGTAAATGACACTTTACTTTTCTTAAAGTTTTATTCATTTTTTACTTTGATTTTTTAAGTTTAATTTTTTTTATTTTAACTATTTATATTTGTAATTCTTCTCATTTTGATTTTTTAAATTTAATTTTTTTTACTTTGATTTTTTATATTTGTAATCTATTTCACTTTGGCCCTTTATATTTGTAATCATTCTCACATTATTTCGAGACCAACTTTCATCTAAAAAATTAATAAAATCTGTCACATCACTAACACATCAGCTCCATATGTGATGTAAAAAATTTACTAAAGATACAAAAAATAAAAAACAAAAAAAAAATTGAAAATTTTTTTTAGTCTTTAGTGAACATTTTCTTCAAATTTATTCATAGACATTATTACATTATATATACATCTAGATTAGATGCAGCTAAAAAAATAAAAACAAATTTAATTAAAAAAATAAAAAAAAAGTTTACTAAAAACGAAAAAAATAAAAATATACCGACTCAAACACATATATTATCAATTTTGAAATGAAAAATTTAATATTGTTTTTTGTCGTCTTTAGTGAATTTTTTTCTTTTTTTAATTAAATTTATTTTTATTTTTTTCGCTGCATCTAATTTAGATGTATTTATAATGTAATAATGTTTATAAATAAATTTGAAAAAAAAGTTCACTAAAGATTAAAAAAAATTAATTTTATTTTTATTTTTTTCCATCTTTAGTGAATTTTTTACATCACATATGGAACTGATGTGTTAGTAATGTGACAAATTCTGTTACTTTTTTTTATGGAAGTTAGTCTAGGAGTAAAGTGGGAAGGATTAAAAACATGAAGGTTCAAAAGTGGAAAGGATTATAAACATGAAAGGTCAAAGTGGAAAAAATCAAATTTAAAGGGCAAAAGTGGGAAGGATTACAAATATGAATGACCAAAGTGGAAAGAATTGTAAACATAAATGGCCAAAGTAAAAAAAATCAAACTTAAAGGGCCAAAGTGAAAAATGGATAAAACTTTAAAGAGGCAAAGTGTAATTAATTGCAAGTATCTCCCTTGTAATAATTACTTTCATTCCCTTGTATTTTTAAAATTATTATCAAGATTTTTCCTCTATTATCATTTTAGTAAACTTGTATCTATTAGAATGAATATTACCATTGATCATCCCTTTCTAGCAATGTATAGGACACTGATGTTAGAAGGTCTATTTCAGAATATTTGAGTCAACAACTTAAATATTTTTGGATCAAAATGATGTTATCTATCCAAAATGACATTTATCTATTCAAATATTTCATTATTTGTACACATGCCACTTATTTATTCACCTATCTATTCACCTCACTACCGCCAACTACTGGATACGACAACTTTTTCAAAGACTTTTTCGACAATGAATAAATTTTCACCAAATTCTTTTAAGGTTTTATATAGTTGTAGAAAACTAACATAGTTATTATTATTATTATTATTATTATTATTATTATATCAATTGGTATGATATTTAGACCTAGTTTGACATATCCCAAATAATTTAAAAAATAAAAAATTACTAAAAAAGTTAAAAAGTTATCACTATTCATCAAAAAAAAATTAATTAATTTTACACAAAAATTATTACAACTTAGTCTGACGTCCCATAGACTTTTGTTGATTTTTTTGAAAAAATTGCACAGGCGGGGTGCACAAACAACACGGTGTTGTTTGGCTCGTGGAGGCCCATTACGAGTCCCATTTTGATAATATGAACCGTTCAATGTGTAGAACTCGTCGAGTACTATATGCCTATAAAATATCACGTTAATCGGATATCGCTAACTGCATGATCAAATCAGTTTTGTATAAAAAAGGATGGTGTTATAGTTAACGGTTGAAAAAAAAACTAATCCGATCAGATAGCTATCGATATCTGATCAGCGTGATTTTTCACAAGCATATAGCACTCGACGAGTTCTACACATTGAACAGTTCCGATTAGCAAAACGGGACCCGTGGTGAGCCCTTACAGGTCGAACAACATTGTCCAATGCCCCGAAAAAGAGATAATCATTTTTTATATAAAATCACTTTGTCCAGACGGTACGAGCCGCTACTCTCCCTAACTTCTCCTACACACTAATTTATACAATTTTTTAATACACATTTTTTTGTAAAAAATCAAAAAGTTAACCCAAACAATCATCTTTTTTTTCCCCTCAACTTTTTAGGCCAAAAAGTCAGAAAGTGAACTTATTTAGGACATCCCAAACAATCCCTCACAAATATAATAAAGCCCCGTTTGTTTGGAGAGTTAGAGGAGGATTGGGATTGGTAGTGGGGTGCGACCCACTAACATTGTGTTTGTTTTGAGAGATGGGGAGAGGATTGATAGTGAATTCTAGATTCGGATGGGCCTTCCCAAAGGGATTCGGATGAGCCTCCAAGACTTGGTATTAGAAAAATAGTCCGCCGGACTATAAATTATTTATTTATTTTTTTTTTATTTTATTTTTTACATGTTGGGCATTTTTTTTTAACATTAATGTTTAATTTTTTGTATTTTTGGTCAAGTAAAAATTATTATTTTATTTGTTTTAATTTTTTTGGAAATTATTTATTTATTTTTTAAATTTTTTTTACATATTGGACATTTTTTTTGAAACATTAATATTTAATATTTTTGTATTTTTTTATTTGTTTTATTGTTTTTTATTTATTTTATATAAAAATAATTTAACAATCCCTACACTAACAACTATCATCAAAACAAACACAATTTTACTTAATCCCCTCACTATCAATCCTTTCACTAACAATCCTCTCATTATTAGTCTCACCACTATGAATCCCCTCCATTCTATCTCTGAAAATAAATGGGGCCTAAGAGAATTATATCAAACAAACAATCATGATTCAACAACTAATAGTAACCACCAACAAAGTCCATAATATGAGCAAACAAATTCAATGGATACTTACTTGTACGTCCGAATAAGTTGACTTATTGTCTTACAGGTCCTATAAAAAAAAATTGTCATAAAAAAAAATCATTAATTGTAAATTTTAGCGACAATTTATAAAAATCATAATAAAAAAAATCACTAATTGTCAATTTTTAGCAACATATATAAAAAATTATTTTTAGTTACAATTTTATCAAGACGTATTTTTAATAAAATTTAATAAAAATTAAATCCAATTATTAAAATTTATTGATAGTTTACCTCAACTGAATACAACAAAACTCCCCTAATACAGGAGCAATGATCAATCTTTGTGTTTTGCAATGATTGACCCCTTCACCTTCCAGTTATGAATATATACGTGTGGCGAACTGAGCTAAGCGCAGTTGATTGTATTTACCTTTGTTCAAATATCTTCGTTTATTTTTGTCATAGCAAAAACATGTCGTACAGAATTTAACAGCTTGCTTTTAAAGTTAACATAAAATTATATCAAAATATTACGGCTCCGTTTGGCACAACTCTCAAATTATAGTTTCACCTATTGATTTAAGTGTACTGTTTGTTTTGAGTTTTCAAATTATAATTTTACACCCATTTCTCAAAACTCAATTCAAAACATAATCATTACTTTTTAAAACGTAAAAATCATTATTTTATTTGTTTTATTTTATTTGGAATTTATTTATTTATTTTTATTTATTTTTAAATTTTTTACATGTTGGGCATTTTTTTTAAAACATTAATGTTTAATGTTTTTGTAATTTTTTTTATTTGTTTTATTGTTTTTTATTTATTTTATATAAAAATAATTTAACAATCCTTACACTAACAACTATCATCAAAACAAATACAATTTTACTTAATCCCCTCACTATCAATCCCTTCACTAACAATCCTCTCATTATTAGTCTCCCTACTGTGAATCCCCTCCATTCTACATCTGAAAACAAATGGAACCTAAGAGAATTATATCAAACGAACAATCATGATTCAACAACTAATAATAACCACCAACAAAGTCCATAATATGAGCAAATAAATTCAATGGATACTTACTTGTAGGTCTGAATAAGTTGACTTATTGTCTTATAGGTCCTATAGAAAAAATTTGTCATAAAAAAGAATCACTAATTGTAAGTTTTAACGACAATTTATAAAAATCATAATAAAAAAAAATCACTAATTGTCAATTTTTAGTGACATATATAAAAAATTATTTAAAAAAAATTATTTTTAATTATAATTTTATCAAGACGTATTTTCAATAGAATTTAATAAAAATTAAATCCAATTATTAAAATTTATTGATAGTTTACCCTAAACTGAATACAACAAAACTCCCCTAATACAGGAGCAATGATCAATCTTTGTGTTTTGCAATGATTGACCCCTTCACCTTCCAGTTAAGAATATATATGAGTGGCGAACTGAGCTAAGCGCAGTTGATTATATTTACCTTTGTTCAAATATCTTGGTTTATTTTTGTCATAGCAAAAACATGTCAGAGTACATAATTTAACAGCTTGCTTTTAAAGTTAACATAAAATTATATCAAAATATTATACGGGTCTTGCAAGTGTCGCTGAGGAACAATACAAATAAAATAAAATCATGAGAAACATATTTTTTTAATTTCAAAATAATTAAATTTAAATTTGTTTAAACCTTGTTATCATTTCTAAAGCATTTTTTACACAAATTTCAATATTAAACAATGTCTTAGAAGTATTTGTTAGCATTTATCTTTTGAATAATGTTTGGAACCACTGAAGTAGTAGCTCTAAAGCTACACTAATGAGATGGCATTGTTGTGGGTCACACCTTGATGTGATAGTTTGGCCTTTGTTTGTTTGTTTATTTTTTTCTTGCACTGCTAGCTCATTAGAGCTGGCATTAG